CTAATTGGCACTCTTACGGCTGGAAAATTCCACTTACTGTCTTGGCTGTCACAAGCTGAAAACTTGGACTTTTTTTTTAATTAAAAAAAAAAGCATGTAGCTCTTATATGATTTTTAAAAAAAGCTATGATAAAAGTTGGATGCAAGTTGGTGCTGTTCCTTGCCCCAGGACTGTAGACAGACGGCTTGTGTGCTGTTGCTTGCACTGAGACTTGGGTAAGTGTTAAAGGAGTGGAAGGCAGCCACTTTTCAGCCATTTCACAGGTAGCACTCAGGGTCAAATTCTCAGATTCGCTTTGACCCATATTGCCAGGAAATCTCCTTTCTTTCAAAATTAATTGGGGAAGCTGTTCTTCTGTATAAAACTTGAACAGTATTGTTCAGGAAATAGGAGACCAAAATATTAGTGATTCCCCAATTCCTGCTTTGTTCAATAATGAGAAAATGGAAGGAAGATTAAAGCAGTGCAAAAGTTCTCTAGTGCTTTAGCAGTTGCAAGAGGAGCCTTCCTCTCAATGCCATTTACAGCATCTGGGGAAAATCATCAACAACAATAACATAAAGCTGTTTCTGGTCTCTACTCTAGAGGGTTAAATTGTCAGAGATGATGGGAAAAAAAAGCACTTTCAGATTTTCCAGGTACTGGCAACTGTAAGTTGGAGCTTGGTAAATCTGTGCTGCGGTACTGGTCCCACCGAATGCTGCCCCTTCAACGTGTTCTCCTGGATGGTGCTCTGAGGTTATGTGATGTCTGCTCCCATACCTTCTGAATGAAGATTTTGCCTAGTGGGCTTCTAAAACTACTTTTTTAATGCATTTTGCCTGGCACTGTCACCCAGAAAGAGCATTCTTGTCATTTCTTCTCCTCACAGCTGTTTGTTCCTATCTTTCTGTCACCGTGACCATCTAGTACTTTCTGCTGGTACCACACATCACAGCTGAGAAGGAAGGGTGGGAATTGCATTTGGTATTGATAGAGTTGGGTTAAATGGATCAACTCTACCTCACTATTGGAAACAATCTTGGAATAATAGAGTAAGGAAAGAGAAGAGGGGATAAGAAGCAGCATAAAAAAAAGGAAGCGAACACTGGAGACAGAAGCTAAGACTGTACAATCCTTTCTGGGAAAATAAAGCATAGAAGGGAGCACAGTCAGGAGAGAAAATATTCTAAGAAAAGCAAGAATGTGGTTGATTGCATGATTTGCAATAACCACATTCAGTTCTCTTCCGAGATGAAGAGGAGGAGGATGATGATGATTAATACCGTGGAAGCAGCTAGGAGTCCCAGGCAGGGAGCAGGCTCCCACTGTACTGGATGTTTTACAGACCCAGAGAGGAAGAATAATCTTTACTCCGTAGTCCTTAACAGATTGTGGAAGAAGGGCTGGATGCAGGCCAATGATAATGTGCAATGAAAAACAGTTGGGAATGGTCAGTAGGATGGATAGCGACCTTAGTATTAAATGTATGCTTCCAGTTAGAAAGCAAGAGTTTATTGTGGATTGATTTTTTTTCTGCAACACATGATACCAAAATCTACTGTAAGTAAATAATCAGTGGCAAGAGATACCACTTAGCATTTTGTGGTGAACTAGGTTTCTTGCTTCTATTGATCTTGTATGGTGCAGCAGCAACAAACTGACCCTAAAACAATCCACCTTAAAACCAACTTTCTTTTTCTACTGTTTTACTTGTTCTGTGACTCCCTCCTTTGGTAATTTAATATTTTTTCCACAGATACTTTCACCCATTGCTTGTTTGTTTTGTCCATGGTCCAGGGGATTTTTTGGTGAGCATTCACACTGCAAAGGAAAATAGTCATCTTCACCTAGGGATTTATTAGCAATGTTCACAAATTTTGCCACATTTTGCATGTCTGAAGCGCTTTAAATGTGAAAATCTTTGACACAATGCTTCCTTTATAAGAAGCATTTACTAGCCCCTGTTTGGTGGATAGGGGTGCTGAAGCAGAGAAATTACACAATTTACAATTACACAATTGGACAATAAAATGGTTATAAAGCCGGGATCAGAACAGAGGAGCCACCAATATTCAGTTCTTGCCTTGCTCTGTCATTGTCCCTACTGCTCAGAACATTAGGCTTTCCTTTAGAGCAGGGTATTTTGCTGATATTGGGCATCAGTCTGGGCTTATATTTCTAAAGGTAGGTGAGTCTGAGAAAAATTCAGTTCTTTCCAAATGTTACAAGAGAATTAAGTATCAGTAATAAAGCCAGAGCTTTATTTATGACACCCACTAAAGCAGGACAGTAGAAAGAGATTAGATGAAGTGCTTGCATGGATTTATTCTTGGGTTATAAAATCACTGTGCGACCAGACAAAGTGCCAGCCACAGTAGGGGGACAGGGATGGCAACATGACAAGTCCTTTCTTATTTTCTGGTTCCTTCCTTATCCTTAGGGCCGGGAGAGGAAAGTGCTGTCTGTAATCTTTCGACTGAGGAAGTCCAGGCCGGCAGAGATGACGGAGGCTGCGGCACTGGGGTGCTCTGAGGTGCTCCGGGTGCTGGCCCTGGCAAGCTCAGGTGTTTGGAGCCTGGCTGCTTCTGCCACTGCTCCTGCTGGCGCAGCCAAAGCAAATGCAGGGAGGTGCCTGGGATCCAAACCGTCTGCGCCCGCGCTCAGGGGCATCTGCGTCTAACGCCAAGGGTCTCCTCTCCATGGGCACTGACCCTGAGAATAGCTGGGAGGTAGATTTTCCTCCTGTATGTAATCTCCCTGTAATATTTAAAGGCACGATTCCTTTCTTTTCTTTTAGATTATGTTGAATTTTCCCACCACAGAATAACTGACTTGGAATGTTGGTAGAGATCTCCCTTTTTTAGTGCATTGGAACAACAGACTTGCTTCCTGACGTGGACAAGAAGAAATGAGGACTGGATTTTTTTCTAAAGTGTTCTGATGTTTGCCTTGTCCCCAGCACAAAATAAAGAAGAGAATGGGACTTCCTCCATCTTTCCTCCATAGTGTCTATCTGCTTGTTAAGGTGCTGAGTGCTGCTGGCAATTGCTGCCTCCCTTCAGCTCATGTTGGCTTCGCTGGAAGATAGTTCCTCAAATATCCCCATGTTTCTAACCATTCTCCCTAAAATATCTGGGCAAAGGAATGTTAACAAGTGGGTTAGTTCAATTCAATCAAGTTCTGTAAAACAGAGCAAATATGGAGCTTTTTTAATCTCTCCTTGGAGTTGCTGCATATTTTCTTCCTATCTCCCCTGCACCTTGTGTCATGCAGCTCTGAAGCCCGGAGCCCGCTGACGGAGCCCATTGAAATTTTCTAAGGAGAATGGCCATTATTTGAGCTGTGTTTCTGGTCTGACTGCCTTGCTGAGTGTGGGTCACAAGGCTGCTGCTTTGGCAACTTACAAGGCCTATAGCATTGCAAAATATTGTACAGAAATGGAAATCTCAGTGCCCTGAATTCCTGTGACTCCAGTTTTTATTTTTATTAACTGGAGTCCTGTGACTCCCGTTTTTTTTCCTAAGATCTATCAAGCTGTACAGCTGAGCACAGAAGCATAAGGAATGATCATTTTCTTAAAAAGTATTTTTTAAAAAACTAGTTATTGTTTGGATGGTGGTTGTGCTTCAAGGCCGCAGGCCTTCTTATCCTCTGTACACATTAAAAAAGTTGACAGTGGTAACGACTTAGGTGTAAAAGGAGCCACCGGGCAGATTTCACAATTCCTGTAAATTAGCTCTTGTTCCTCGATTTTTACAGCACACCTGAAAGTGAGAACTGTGGTTACTTGTGGAGACACCTGAGTAAGAGAGAGCCCTTTTAGCCTTTAAATCGTGTTCTTGGATAAAAGCAAGATGAGGACAACACTTGTATAAACATCAAAGTTTGCTGGGAGCCCTGGCTGTGTGCCCAAAGAAGGGCAATGCAGCTGGTGAAGGGCCTGGAGCAGAGACCTTACAAGGAGTGGCTGAGGGAGCTGGAGTTATTTAGTCTGAAGAAGAGGAGGTGCAGGGGAGTCCTTATTGCTCTCTATAGCTATGTGGAAGGAGGTTGTAGTGAGATGGGAGTTGATCTCTTCTCCAGAATAACTATGGATAGAACAAGAGGAAATGGCCTCAAGTTGCACTAGGAGAGGTTTGGGTTAGACAGTAGGAAGAAGTTCTACAGCGAAATAGTAGTGAAGCGTTGGAACAGGCAGCCCAAGGAAGTGGTGGAGTCCCCGTCCCTGGCACGGTTCAAGAAACGTGCCCATGAGGCACTCAGGGACACGGTTTAGCTGGCAGAGTGGGGGTGGGTTTACAGATGGACTCGTTGATCTTAAAGGTTTTTTCCAACCATGATGATTCTATGACTTCATGTAGCTCTTAATGTATTAAAGCTTGACAGCTACTGTGGCAGGAGATGGGATAAATTAATCATTGTTTTCAAATGTTTATATGCTTTCATATGATACTGCCTTATAGTCTGTTCTGCTACAGGTGATAGAAAAGAAGGGGTGAAAGTGTTAGCTCAATTGCAGTCAGGTCCTCCAATTTAGCAGGTGAGAAATCACTAAAGGAAGTTCAAGGCACATGTGTTTGCAAGCCCTTAATTTTTACAGCATTCAGTGATTTTTTGATTGCATTGAGCAATTCATATTCTGCTGTAAATCCGTAGTTTTTAGATCACTGATTCAAACCCATTTTTTTAATGGCTCTTTTCTATTTGAGACCTCTTTTATTATATGTAGAGACTTCTGTTTGGATTTCAGGTTGTCAGAAACTGCTGCTTTCCTTCTAGCACTGGTTTTTTTTCCTCACTCCTTTCTCTTCATGGCTATTTTAATGCATTGAAGGACAGTTTTCTGAAATTATCATTTTAAATAGCTTTTTACTTTGTCCTCAATTTTATTGGGCCATCCAATTTGCTTTAAACCTGTTTGTCTTCAGTTTCTAAATGCTATTTTGCTGCATTCAAAATCTCCACAGGCCTCTGAGCACTCTTCTAAATCTTTCTAATGTGCATTTTTGTCTTTCAGATCTCGCTGCTAGTTGCATTCATCAGTGTGAATAGCTCTCAGTGGACTGACTACGCTGCATACAGCTATTTTCAGATCGTCACCATGTGCGACTTGGTTATGATTTTGGTCTTCTACGTCGTCCACATTTTCCGAATCTACAGGCTGCTCACTTGCATTAGCTGGCCGCTTGCAGTAAGTCAGGTCATTGAGCTGAGCTCTAAATTAGGTGGTCCATTTTTTGTGCTTTCACACACTCATCTGCTCTCTTTAACGTTTCTTTTGCTTTTAGTAATTTAGAGAATTCTTAAATTCAAGAAGTGTTTGGATAGCTTTTAATGGAAGCTACACTTAAAGTATGCATTGTTGCAACAGGAGTAACAAGCCATTTTGACCTTTGCATATGCCATTGAAATGCTTTTTACTTTTGTTGTGCCATTTGTTCATCAAATGTTCTAAAGTCACTGGTGTGTTCAAGGCACTAGAGTTTGTGATAGCTTTATGGGTTGTTATGATACATTATTCATCTTTTACAACGAACTCCCCTTTTGGTCGAATAAATGTGTTGAGAACAGACTGGGAAGTCCTGTAAGAGGACTGTAAAAGTACGAGTAGTGTTTGGCTGAGTTCCCTGGAAGGATCTCTTCCTTGGTTTCAGATATATGATTTGCAGCCAGTAAAACTGCAGTGGTTCAGGAAGCTGCTCAGGGCTGACATCCTTCTCCAGCTTGGAGGTCGCACCGTCATGGTTGTGCCAGGGGTTGCTCCTCTTAGGTTTTGTCATTTCTTCAGCTCATTCCTTGGTTCCTCAAAAGCAGTGGTCTGCATACACTGCTTTATTTGTCTAGGAAACAGTGACATTTGCCTATTAATTTTGCCTGTGACAGCTAATTTGCCTGCCTGGGAAGTATTTATGGATATACTAAAAGAGGAAGGCAAGTTGCAATTGGAGAACATACTTTATGGCAAGGATCCTCTTCAGCTGCTTTAACTCCTGGCAGATGGAAGCTGCTATGTGGTGCAATAGACCGTTTCTCTTGAGCAGTTTCCTTTTGAGGTTATATTTTATTTCCTTTGATTTGAGAAGGAATCACTCTTCCTTTTTTACACGTGGCACTTGCTTGGCTCATGCTCCTACTGCAGGGCAAGTTCAGTAAGCAGACATCCCTCCTGTGCACCCATCATGCTAAGGGAACGACCCGTGCTTGTTTTGCAGAAACAAAATGTTTTTGCTGGAAATATTGTTCACCATAAGTTTTGTGGGGATTCAAAATCTAAATCCACAGATAATTCCTGCTTATAATGAGACCAAACTGACTCCTGAACCAGCACTGCACTGACCAGGAAGAGATTGGCTATCGTGCTGCAGCATGCTCGTCTGAGTAAGCTGTGGCATCGTGTTTTGCTGCACAGCTGGCCTGCAGGCACACTCGCTGACTTCAGGCAGATTTCCTGAAACTTTTGTAGTGGTTATGAGGGTTTGTGAGAGTTGTGAATCAGTGGACATGAAGATTGGGCCTCGCTTTCAAAGAGCAAGTCACATACAGTACAGAACTCAAACATTTTTTTTATTTCCTTGTTTGTTTTATAGGTGTACTTTTTTCTTCTGATTTTTTTTTTCCCCCTCTGGGTTTCTGAGTGACCTCTGCCAAATTATTTTGATTCTAACACATATTGAAAGGCTTTCCTGAAAAAAATTCCTTCTAAAGCAGGTTATGCTTGTCTTTGTAGGAGTTTCTTCATTATTTAATCGGTACAATTCTACTTCTCATTGCATCGATTGTAGCAGCATCCAAAAGTTACAGTTTGACTGGGCTGGTGACTGGAGCGGTAAGAGTGTATTTTATCCTTGACCCCTTTTTATTACTTTATTAAAGTAATTGTAAATCTGTTGCTTGTCGTTTTATTCTGTGATACTTGCCTTGCTTGTGTCTTAGTGGGTGAACTTCTTTCAGACTCACCTCAGTGCATGTTCTGTAACAATGCTAACCAAAAGGAGTTGTGGATTCCAGACTCAACACAGAAGTGGGTATTTGCCTCATCTGTGAGCTGAAACCAAAGTCTCTAGCTTTAGCATGTAGAGTCTAATGTATCTGAAGGAAGAATTAAGTCACTTCTGATGAATTACTGTTCTAGCAGCTAGAAGTTACTTAAACCACCTCACCACCTCACTCCAATTCTCTGCATTTGATACCTGCTTGCTCTTGAATAGGGCCCTGTTCAAGATCCTGTCTCCTGAGCTAAAACCTGATCTTGGGCTGATTTACTGGAGGATGTGCTCTGCCTCTGTTGGCTGGAGGGCTTTGTAGAGCTCTGACTCCCTGGTGGGGTGAGAGTATTTTGACAGCAAAAGGTCTTAAAATATATGTCTAGCATAAAGAACTGCCTTCTGAAACTAAATGCTGCTAGTGTGTTTTGCAGAAGCTAAAAGACTTGCCTGACTTGTTTACTTGGCAGATGGCAAGGAAAGACTTGTTTAGTGACAGATCACTTTTGGTCAGCCCGTGAAGCAGGTGTATTCTTCTTTCTTTAGTCAAGGATGTGTATTGGGAAGTACAGGAAGTCTCCTTTAATCAAAGCACTGCCATCATTGGAGAGGTCCTAAAATATTTCCCATAGTAATCTGATGTGTGGTGAGTCGTCCTATCCCTTCAGAAGCCTCCCAGCTCTTGGCAGCTTCACAGCACGTGGATGCATGCCTTCTCTGTCAAAGCTGTGCTGCATTCTCCAAAGACTGGATTTTCAGGAATTGCAAATCAGTCTCAGCTTAGGCCACGCTGACCTTTGCCATTTGGATGGAGTTTGCTACAAGAGCAGGAATTTTTTTTTTATCAGCAAAAGTCCTTTTCTTTCTCCGGAGTCCTAGGGAGGAGTCTAGAAGGTGAAGTTTTATGTTGCTCTCCATCTTTGTTCTCCACTTTTATGTGCTTTCCAGTCCTTTACTCTTGTTTTGGCAGACATAAGCTGCTGTTATACCCCAGAATTTTTGTAGCTTTAGTATATTGAGAGAATGGAAGAAAAGAGCTTTTAATCTGGTTACCTCAGGAAATATGTATTTTGATATACAAGAGACTCCATATGTTCATGGAATATGAATCATCTAACATTGTGTACGTATCCGTTTTTTATTATTGTTTGTTTGCTTGTTTGTTTCGCACAGACTTTTGGATTCCTGGCTACGATCCTGTGTGTTCTAAGCATATGGTCATCCTACAAAGTTTCATGCATCACTCAGTCAACAGGTAAGTATCATGCCAGGTGTTTGCCTAAATGAATTTATGTCTTCCTCTGGCAGTGTCTATCTGGAAGGATTTACTGTTCCGTGCTACTCAAAGTTACTCTCAAAAACAATAATTCAGTAATGTCAGTCAACACAGATGTATCACAGCTACTGACAACTGTTAACAACTAACATGGAGCAGAATAACTCATTTCTAGTAAGCAAGGAATGCATCGTCACCCTCTCTTCTCCCTCCCCCAGCCAAGGTTTCCTCTGTGTTCTTTAATCTAGTAGATGAATTTGTTTGTGGCAACCCAAGTCACACTGGTTTCCTTTTCAAAGATGCAGCCATATGACTCATCTCAGCAAGACGTCCAGGCCTGACCAAATAGGATGCCAAAGAGGAGAATCCAGCCCCACGAAGAGAGCACGAGTATTTTGGTACTAGCCTGGACAACTGGTAGCTTTTAAAGATCTACTTGAACGCCTATACAAAACACTGTTGGGAACTAAAGGTTTTTTTGCCTTCCCTTTACCCCCAAAAAGTTTATAATGGAGAACATGCTTCTTCTGAGCTTACTAAAGAAGGACTATTTCTGTCTCACAGGCTGGGGTGGGGTAATATCCAGCCATCTGCAGTAAGTGCAGTTAAAACTCCTTTGGAGAGCTGGTCTGCTCTCCTTCCAGAGGGGTGGAAAAATCACTTCTGATTTCCTCCATCTGTTTACAGAAGGGAAATCCTGCAAATTTCTACCTGATTCTTAACTTCCAAGGATGATTCCTTTAGCAAAGGAACTGTGACAAACCAATTTGTGCCTTCCTAAGTTAACCCAAGTTTTTGTTACGTTTTCGTATCACAACCATGGATTATTTTTAACATCGGTTCAGTCAGCAACAAAAATTATGAACTGCAACTTGGATAAATCACAGTAAATGCTCCTTTCTAACCCCAGCAGTATAGTATGTGATGAAAGCAGTATTTTCTTCATGATTTTTTTATCATTTATTAAGAATCAAAAGTTTTTCTTAAAAACTTTTCTCTACCAAAATGTGTATGCAATAGTATTTAAGTAATGGTTTGTGGGATCTTTTTATTTCCTTATCACAAATAGTCACTGGTAAAATCATGTTTGTAGGACCTGTTGGTAGAAAATTTCTGTACGTTTGTAGAAATTATTCTTTTTGGAGACTGGTTGTTCCCTTTTGCATCTAGCTGTAAAGTGGGACTTTTAGCACTAAGTCTGCCTGTTCTGTCTGGCCATAACAGTGCAGCAGGTTTCTGGGAGGAGAAAAAAAAAAAAAACAATTTACAAAGGTCCACTGTGGAGGCAAGCAACATTTTCTGGCCTTTTTGTATTTGTCTGAAGCCATGCATCAGTTCTGGTCAACAATTGAATGACCATGTTGTAGAAAACTGGCTCAGCATAGTAGAGGGGTAGGGATGCAACCTCTTCTTTCACTCATCCATTGCCCCAGGGGAAGCAGAAATGCTCCTTTCTCTTGGTCTCTCCTTTGCCTCTTGAGAGAAGTGCTCACATAGGAATCGGGCGCTTTCGCTGCTCTTGCCCACCGCGCGCAGAAGCGAGTGTTCCGCTGCGCACAGCTTGCGTGCTGCTGAGCTGGGCCTTCTTGGAGGAGAAGCATCTGCTGAGACTGCCGCTGGAGCCTGAACGCTGGGTGGAGAAAAGGCTGTTCCTGCTCTGTGGCTGCACTGTGCTCCCTCTCCCAGTGCTTTTCCAGCCTCCCACGCCACCCTGAGAAAAGAACATTAGGGGAATTTCATGCTGTCCAACAGCCAAAGATTTCCTGGATGGCGCTCTGTGATCAGCCAAAGAATCTGCTTTGCTGCAAGTGTGCTTGTAAATAGTGGATCAAGAGAAGTAAGTGACAGGGTCCCCTTTCAGTTTGTGCCGAAGACACAGGGCTAAGGCACGTCTGCAGCTCTTAACGACAGTGCTGGGTCCAGAGACTCATCAGATGCTCATATTGCAGGATGTTTTCAGGCTGGAAAAGTGACATTTCTGCTGGCATAGGTTCCTCACTTCCCCCATATCTTCCCTGTGAAACATGCCTGCCAGGAACAGCGGAGTTTTGCTGTTATCACCAGCTTTACCAAGGGTGTTTGAATGACAACCCTGTCTGTCAGGCGCTGTGGCACCGCACTCATGCCGTTCTGCCTGCAAGTGATCTGAGTTTTCTTTAGTGCCGGCCTCATTTGGAAAGCGCCATCTGTCTGGGACTTTGTTGAATACTGAATTCCAGGTATTTCTTAAAAATAAACTATGTTTGTTATTGGGATGATGTAACGACTGTGAGAATAAGATTGCTCCCTTGCATCTTTTTCTTTTTCCTTTTTTTTTTCTCCCTCTTACTAAACCAGTGTTTTTCCATGTGTGTTCCCCCCCTCCCTGTGCTGTATGTGGATGTGCTGGTCTCTGACTACGGCATCCAAAATTTGTCCATCCTCTGAGACAGGTGTAGTGTTTTCTTTAAGCCAACACAGGTGCAGTTTGGAGTCTTTTTTTTTTTTTTTTTTTTTTTTTGCTGAAGCCCAAAATACAAATTTTGGGGGAAGAAAAGGAGTAGTTTCATACTGCACGAAAAACTGATGTTTGATCTATGGGGATTTGAGACGAGGCAGAGAGTGGGTAACAGTGTTTGTGCAGGTAGAAACAAGGAAGGTGAGAAGGGGAAATGAAACTATTACAGAAGAGAGGAAGGATGGCTCTGAAAGGGTTGAGGACCACACTGCTGGATGAAGACACTGCAGGTTATGTGACAACTCTTCAGCTGCTCTGGAATGGCTGCATTTTGGAATGGCTGCAATATGAAACACAAAGAACTGGGTTCTTCCCCCCTAAAAAGGCTTAGGGAAAAAATCGCTGTGCGGGTGGGGAGATGAACG